CATTTCAGGAAGCCTCTATCGCTCCCGTCGGAAGCGGTCTGCCCTTGAGATTGGGAGTTTCACGCACGCGACACGAAAAATACTTGCACTGTGCGTTTCCCCTCGCCAGCTGCCCGAATGTTGGAGAGAGGGGGGGTTGGGGAGAACGAGAATGAACGACAAGCTTCAATTCACCACTGCCTTTCCCCTTGCTTCAACCTCACAAAGCTTGCAAAGAAGCTCCCCTCCCCACAGACACATTTGTGATTATTTCTTTGCTTCTTTCCGCGTGTGATGACTGTTTCTGATGGGTGCTGACTCCTAGTGAACGTTTTCCATGGCTGTCTGTTGATCCGCTGACGGGGTTATTCGTGTGCACTGCAAGGAAGTCCACTTCTTTTCATTTCCACCATTAGCTCAGCCAGCGTGACACGACACGACACAGGAAGGGAATCGGCAGCACACGACACCACGCAAGCAGAAGTATTTTCTCTGCGTGTCTTGCTCTGACGGGACCACGTGCTTCTAGGTTGATTAAGACTAGGGTTGGCAGGAGAATTGTCTTGATGCACGTATATCTTTGACCACGGAATACCAAAGACGTTCCTTTTTTTTTAGTTCGCTGACAACTGCGTCGCTGCTAGCTCGCCAAATTATCTCGTTTGCCAACTCAACTACCACGCACGACATCGTCTGTGCAACCAACGACGTCACAGGGAACTTGAATTAGGCCTTTATTTCACTCGTTCTCCTCGTCGTACATGGCTCCTTCCGTGATTGGCAGCAGCAGCAGCAGCAGTCGGCTCGTCCACATGCTTACAAGCGGCGCGAGCCATACTAGCTTCTCCGAACTCATGCTCGAGATCCTCTCCGTCGTCGTGCCGCTCTGGCTTGCCGTCGTAGTCGGCCTTATCCTCGGGTGGTCATGGCGGCCGCAGTGGGTCAACTCTCTCGCGTCGGACCCGCGTTCCTCCGCCTTCTGGTCGCTTCTCACCGGCGGCCCGTTCAAGGAAGCGTGGTCTGCGGGGTGGTCATGGGGACAGGCTGTGCTGGACTCCTGCGGTCACGTGCAGGTTCCGGGATTCCCGGCAGCGGGAGTTAAGGAGGGAGTTGAGGGAGCCAAGGAGCCGGGTTTTCAGGCGGTAGGGGTGTTATTTGGGAGAGATTGGAGCTCTCTGGGTGAGAAGGTGTTGCCTTGGAGGGCGGCTGAGAGGGTGGGTGGCTCTGGGAAATCAAAGTTAGCTGCTTCGGGGAGCGATGGTGTTGAAGCGAGGAGGCCGGAAGGAGCGGAGGAGGTTGGCGAACGTCGTAACGGTAACCGTGTTGTTGGTCCCGCGAGCGGCGCTGCGGATAGCAGGCGTGATCGTCCAATGAACGGCGAGGCTGTCAGCAAGGAAGCTGTGACTGACGAGTACGTTTTTTTCCCCGCTCAACTCGTTCACGTTTCCAGCCTTCTGCCTCTCGCACGACTCACTTTCGTTCTGTTACAATATCGTCTGGTTCCATCCTCTCTTCGTCTTTCGCAATTCCGTCTTCCTTTTTTCGACAAGTCCGTCCGCCGACGTATCCTAACCCCTCTCTTTGTATCACCTGGTTTTTCCCTGACTGTTGCAGGCTGTCTGCGCAGTCGCGGAGCAAGGGCTCGCGCCCGGCATCGTTGCAAACAGGGAACCTTCAGCTGTTAGAGGTCGGCCGTAACGTGCATGGGCACGCCAACGGGAACGGCGCCGAGCATAGCGTGTCGGAAGAGGATATGGAGTTGGTTCTTACGGAGGATGACTTGGAGGAGTTTTGCGCCAAGGTGGAGGGCAAGGACGGCGGGCCGGAGTGGCAGCTGATGATGGAGAAGACCGCCAAGGGGATGCAATATACGGGCTGGCGACGAGACCCCGAGGTGCGCTGCTTGTAAATATGTTGTGGTTATGACGGGGATGTGATGTTGCGCCCTTTCCATTTTCCCGAAGAGCAAAGCTCAGCAGATTTATTTTTTGAGAGATCATGTCGCGCGGTCTTGTGCTCGTCCGCGCTCATGCGCGGTCTGTTAACTCCCCGCCGCGACTTTCTTTTCCGCCTTCGGCCCCTGTCCGTCCCCCCAACAGCAAGGTCTCACGTTATGCTCCCCTCCCCATTTCTTTCGCCATCGTCCCCTTCCCTCTTCCCCCAACAGCAAGGGCCCACAGAGTACCGCAGTCGCACAGTGATGGAGAGGTGCTCGTCGGCGCTTATGCGCGACTTCTTTTGGGACGACGAGTTCCGCGCGGCGTGGGACGACATGCTCGTGCAGGCGCGCACCATCACCGCCTGCGAGCGCACGGGGTTTCAGATCGTCCACTGGGTCCGCAAGGTCAGTGGCTGTGTGCTCTTGTTGTCTCTTTCTGTGTCGCGAGTGACAGAGGGCCTGGAGTGGTGGGAAAGGGTGAGAAAATGCGATTCTGTTGTTCTGGACCCGTTGCTACCCCGCTCTCCCTGTTCCTTTTGAACACACCACTTCTCTCAATCTCGTTGCGCTCCTCCCGCTCCTGTCCCATTCCTGCCCACTCCTGTCCTCCCCTGCTTCACCCCTACCCCATACCTGTCCCCCGTATTGCAGTTTCCGTATTTCTGCAAGGACCGGGAGTACGTGATAGCGCGGCGCATCTGGTCGCATGACGACACATTCTACTGCATCACCAAGGGCGTGCACCACCCTGAGGTGCCCAAGCGCGACAAGCCGCGCCGCGTCGAAGTCTTCTACTCCAGCTGGCGCATCCGCCCCGTGATTGGCGCCGAGGGCAGCAACGCAGCGGAAGTCATGCTGTTTCACCATGAGGAGATGGGGCTGCAGAGGGATATAGCGAAGCTGGGCGTGCGGCAGGGCATGTGGAGCGCTGTGCGGAAGATGGAGCCGGCGATCAGGAAGTATGAGAAGCAGCGTGCGGAGGCGGCACGGCCGTTGTCGAGGTGCGTTTCGCTGGCGAATCTGCACACGCCGATTGTGCCGTCGCCTGGGAGTAGCCCGGATGGGGAGGAGGATGGGGATGGAGGTGCGGGGGAGGGGAGTAATGCGGTGAGGAGGAAGGGAGGGTTGAAGAAGGGTGGGATGGGGATGAGGAAATGGGTGAGCTTTTCGGATTTGGCGATGGCAGGGGAGGCAAGGAGGGGGGGAGGGGAGGAGGATGAGAGGAAGGAGGAAGAGGAGAGGGAGAAGGGAAGGAGGGTTGTGGATGAAGCTGCAGAGGGCGAGGGACAAAGTAGTAGTGGCAGGGCAGGCAGCAGCCAAGTCGTAGTTGCGAGTGGTTCAGGCAATGTTGGTGCTCGGTCGCCAGGTCAAGGCTCAACCGTTGGATCTGGAGACTGCAGAGGAAGGCGACGGTCTGGATCGGCCCAGCAGGAAAGGAGCGATTCTTGTGATCAGGGGAGCGAGGTGACAGTGAGGAGTGGCCCGGTTATGGGGGGTGATGCAAGGGGAGAGGAGAGGAGAGGGAAGGTGGGAGCGGTGAGGGTGGGATGGGTGGTGGCGACAACTGCTTTGGCTTTTATCTGTGGAGTGGAGGCAGGGGTGCTGATGAAGCTGGTGGTTGCAGGGGCGGTGCAAAATGTGGCTTCCAGGCGTGCTGCTGCTGCAGCTAGAAAGGAGAGATTGCAGAATTAGGCTGGTGCATGTGGTATATAGCTGATCATGGTGTAGTCAGCGCATCCTCCCAGTTGCCCAATTTTGGCTTCAGATTGGCGGGCAGTGCTTCTTGGTTATATAAACTGTTGTTTTCAATATGAACCATGTTTTGGTAATAATTTCTCTTGTGGAACCTTAATCTACATTGTACATGAGATCAAGCTGACTTGCCTGCCTGATTATCATAGCGAATTGCTACACTTCTATTTCTTTCATTTTCCTGCCAGCTGTCACACCCAACAAAGTGGCGGATCGCACAGAACTTCGCGCCAATTTCCGTCTGACTCCCCCTGTGGTTCCCTTCGTTCCGCTCGTTCCCCCAGTTTGCTTTCGCACCCCGCCACAACTGCTGGTCGCTGCTTTGGAAATCAATTTGGGAGGGGCGAAATCCCCCCTGCGAGTTCAAAATGTAAAACATGACTCTCTGATCAGTGCTGTTAAAGTTAGCAAACGTTCTATAACGCAAAGGAACTTACGGAACCGTAATATACCCGCGATTGTTCGTTTCCCCTCTTCCGCCCTTCTTAGTCAGCATTGGTCCGCGCTTGAGCGGGGTCAGGTTATCGTTCCCCACCACGTAAGCCGCCGCCGCGACTCTCGCTAGTGAAAGCGCAGCCGCAGAGCCCCATTGTGCGCCGTGGGCCACGCTGAACCACCCGAGGGTTTCATCCCGCGTCGCTGTGCTTAGCGACAATTTTCACCGTAGATCTCCAACTCCGCTTCCGCTCCCGAGTCCCGACAGCCCTAAACTGCACTGTGCTGTGCTCGTCATTTATAACTCTATAAACTATACTTGCCACTGTGCTGCTTGTTACGTAGGACACTGTTTCATATCGTAGGAAGCCGCATTAGTGGGGGTTCCCCGCATTAGTAAGATTGGAGGCGGCGACCAAAAGTAGGCATTATTTATGTAGCGACGTAATCAATGAGTCGGAAGAAAGCGTAGTTTCAAGTGACTCGATTGTGACATACCGTAAGCTGCACTGTTTCGTCTTTAGAAAAGTCGAGCCGCGAGCAGCTCGCGCTAACCCCAATACGTTAAAATAGTAGCGACGTTCGCAACCGTTTGTTCTTAGGAGGACCAAAGCCTAACGGCCGATCGCGGAATACGACTGCAAACAAGCCTTTATAGAAGCCAAGCGACAAGCCTAATGAATTAGCCTATATGAAGCCTAGTAAGAACAAAAAAAATAAAGAACTAACAAGCCTACATGAAAGCCTAATAGCTATCGTATCAAGGCTAGCAGGCTAAAAATAAGCGCACGTAAGGGGCCTGCGCGGATCATGGTGGCATCAGAGGCAGCAGAAAGTGACGCTGCCCGTTGTTTCTGAGAATACTCAAAAACACCCTGCGGGCATAACGCAAATCATGGTGGCATTCGAGGCAGCACAAAGTGGCGCTGCCGGGTCGCCGTCTCGCGCCGCGATGCTCGCCGCAAGCAACGCTGGTGCCGGCTCGTCAGCGAGCAGCGCTTCGGGCGGCGGCTTGACTGCAGAGGAGGACGTTACCGTTCTCGAGGTACCGCAGTCACGTGGCGCTCTTCCATGGTTACCTTCGTTCCATGCTAGTTAATCAGCTGGCCTGTTCGTTTTGCCACTTCCCCCTATCTAGTCTTCGTTTCTCTCTGTTTTCTGTCCTTTCCTGCTTGTCTTCTCTCCTCTCCGTTTCCATGCAACCTCATCCCTATCCATCCCTCGGCCGCTGCGGAAGCTGCAAAGTCGTGTTTCTTCCTGCTCCCCGCGCTTCGTTGCTGCCGTACCTCAGTCGCAGGCTCGGGCGTGGATCGAGCGTGTCTTGGGTCGGCAGCTTCCGGCGGACCGCTCGCTCCCCGATATCCTGGAGGACGGGCAGACGCTGTGAGTCCGCTTCCTATTCGGGTGTGTGTTTAGTAAACTCAAACCTTCTTTGATATCCTGCGCGACGGGTGCTCACTATGTTCCGTGAAGCTTGCCTACACTAAGCAAGCCTCTCTATAATGTCCGGCCTTCATCAGTTTCTCTGATGCTTCCTTCCGTACTGTCAGTCTTTTTGCACGCGCTCCTCTTCCCTTTCCTCTGGCCACTCCACTCTCTTTCACTCCCCCCTCTTCCCCTCCCCACCCGTCCCACCCCCCACCCCCCTCCCCCCTCCACCCTCCCCTCCCCTCCCCTTCGCTCAAGCTTTCATCCCGCCCGCTCTCCGCCATTCTTCCCCCTTCCGCAGCCCCCAATCGCTTTCCCACCTACCCATTTCCGCTTTCCCCCCAACCACCATCCCCCCTTTCTCCCCCCTTTCGCCCTTCCCTCTCCCCCTCCCCTCCCCCCAACCCCCCATCCCCCTAGTGTGGAGGTGGGGCGGGCGGCTCAGCGCGCAGCCAGGGGATGGCTGGTTATGGGGAAGGCGGGGGGAGGCGGAGAAGGGGGAGGGGCGCTCGGGGGGAAGGGGGCGGGCTCTTTTGCGCGATGGGGCGGGGGAAAGAGCGGAAGCGGGGCGGGGTTGAAGGAGGGGGAGGATTGGGAGGAGGGGGAAGGGGAGGCGGAGCAGGGGGAGGGGGAAGCGCCGTCCGCGGAAGTGGGGCGGAATATGGCGTTCTGGCGCGCATGCGTGAAGGTGGAAATGTTCCTCAAGGTGATTATAACGGGGGGGGGGGGGAGGGAAAGGGGGTGGTCTGGGTGGGGGGAGAAAAGGGGTGGAAGGGATGGGAAGACGGGGAAAGTTGTGGGGGCAAGCGAGGGGGGAATGGGGGCGGGAGAGTGGGTTTGGTTTGAGAGAGTTGGGAGTGCACTGAATGCTGAATGAGCGTTCTCAACTGTGGCAATGCAGATCGCACAAGGAAAGAGCCTTCTCTCTTTTCCCTCCCCCACCCTCCCCCATTCCTCCACAACCCTCCCCTCCCCTCTCCCGCTCCCTCGCCCTCCCCCCATTTATTATTGTTCCCCACTTCCTGCGGAAATCTGTGCCATTGTGGTCAATCCTCCACTCCCTCCTCCCCTGCCTCGCCTAGTTTCCCCCCAAACCCCGCCGTTCCCCCCTATCTCACACACCCCACTCCTCCCCTTTCCTCCCCCGTCCCCCCTTGTGGTGTGCAGATCTGTCGCAGCATAGATCTGTACGACATAAATGTCTTCACCGCTCCTGATGTATCATCCTATTCCCTCACCCCCCTCACTTCCCCCCCTTCTCCCCCCTCTCTCCCACACCCCCCTCCTCCCCAAACCCTTTGCGGTGTGCAGATCTGTCGCAGCATAGGGCTGTACGACGTTAACGTGTTTACCCCACCCGATTTGGTGGAGAGGCGTGATCTGAGGCGGTTGTATCTGTGCCTGCGGACCCTCAGCAAGCGCACCATCGGAATCAAGGTGAGTCAGCCGAGTCAACGCAGGTCAAACTCGTCTCCAACTTGAATTAGTCAAAACAATTCAAATGATTGGATACAATGAAAGGTTAGGGAAGCCAGCAAAGTACGAGCAAAGCGGAAGAAAGATCGATCTGTTTTGTCTTTTCCCTCACCCCAATGTCATGACACGGCTCTCCTGCTCCTGTTCCTCCTCTTCTTTCTCGATTGCACACCCGCTGTATTGTCACACCCTATATTATTGATCCCTTGGTTATCACACCTCTCCTCGCCTTTTGTTCTTTCTTCTCTTTGGAACCCTATCAAGGGCTTTAAGAGCAGCATGTGACTATGACTTTTGAGTCAACTCACCAGTTGTCTCTCCTCCGCCCTTTTGAGAATTCTGAAAATGTTTTCATCCTTCCCCTTTCGGACCCTATCCAGGATTTTGAGGGCAGCATGGTGACTGCCACGTCAGCAACACGCCACCGGCTCATGTCGTCTGTATCCAAAACCATCCGACACACCACCGCCGCCCTCTCCCCCTCGCCCTCCCTCTCCTCCTCCGCCTCTCAATCAAAACCAGCCCCAGCTGCACTGCCCCGAGCTCTGCCCTCCCCTGCCCCACCGCCCCCAGCACTTTCCTCCCCTGCCACGCCGCCCCCTGCTCTGCCCTCCCCTACCGCACCGCCCCCCCCAGCTGCTCCTCCCCCTGATCTACCCGCCCCAGCTCTGCCCTTCCAAGCTGCCTTTGTTTCCCAATCTGCTACCGTATCTGCTGCACCCCCTTCAGTTGTACCCTCCCCTGCCGTACCCCCCCCAGTTGTACCCCACCCAGTTGTAGATTCCCCAGTTGCACCCTCCCCAGCAGAACCGCCTCCTAAGCCAGTCCCACCGTCACCAAGTCTACCCTCCCTGGTTCCCATCTCCCCACCACCACCAGCACCACCCTCCCCACGGGTTTCTGCCCCTCTGACCGCTTCCAACTCCTCCGTTCACCTCCCTCCTCGTGCCGCTGCCCCTGCTGCTGCTGCTACTGCCGCTGCCCCTGCCAGTGCTCCTGCCGCTGCCCCTGCCACTGCTCCTGCTGCTGCTCCTGCTGCTTCCTCTCGCTCCCCAGCCACGTTTGGCAATCCTCCAAGTGAGGTCCTTCCCTCCCCCCCATCTCCTTCCCTCTGCTCCGCTTCCCCCTCCGCCTCCCCCTCCCCCTCGCCTTCCCCCACCCCCTCCGCCTCCCCCCTCTCCGCCTCCCCAGCTTCTGATTCCCCAAGCCCCTCTATCCTACCCGAACCGGACCAACTCCTTCCCCTCTCCCCCTTCCCCTCCGCATCCTCCCTCGCATCATCCCTCAATTCCTCTCGCTCCTTCACCACTCCCACCAGTGCTGCCTCGTCCCTCACACTTGCCACTGCCAGTGCCACTAGTGCTGCCGCTGCTTCTAGTGCCGCCACTGTTACTAGTGCCACTGCCTCTACAGCCGCTGCAGCTGCTGCAGCCGCTACAGCCGGGCAGGGAGCAGCAGCGGATCGCAGCATTCCGCGGTGGTGGGCACCCGCCTATCCTCGCCCATGCAGCCCGTCTCGCCGCTTCTCCCACTCCTCCTCTGTCGCTGCCTGGCAAGCTTCTAGCGCTGCTGCTGCTGGTACTGCTGCTGCTAGTGCTGGTGCTGGTGGTGCTGGTGCTGGTGGTGCTGGTGGTGCTGGTGTTGGTGGTGCTGGTGGTGCTGGTGCTGGTGGTGCTGGCGCTGGTGTTTCTAGGTCCGTCAGGGGTGATTATTTGCCGAACCTGCCGACTTGGCTCGGCCCGGAGCAGCAGGCGGTGCTTCGGTCGCGGTCCCCGGCACGGGTGCCCCCGTGGGTGGTGAGGGAGGGGGGAGGGCCAGCAGAGGCTGCAAGAGGGAGGAGGAGGTCGGCCTCGGTTACTGCAGTGCAACAGGTATGTAATACGGTGCAAAGGGTAGGGCATTTGGTGCACTGCGATGCAAAGGCATGTGGTGCGATGCATAAGGCATGTTTCTGGTGTGGTATTAAGGGCATGTGATGTGCATCACACTCTAAAACTTGTCTCCTCTTCCCCCCTCTCCCTCTCACATCTCCTCCCCGCCCCCTCCCCTTCTCCTTCCCCCATCCTGATCCCTCTCCTTACCACCCACACAGGCCCCTCCCGCTACAGTCACACCCAGACAGCCAACACCCCCCCGTACCCACACCTCCCCTCTACGCTCCATCTCCCCTCCCACCACTTTCCACCCATCCGAACCGGAGTCCCTCCCTGACACAACCACTATGGGTAGGAGGGGCGGAGGGGGGCGGATGGGACAGCAGGAGTTAGGTTTGTTAGAGCAGCCACAGGAGCAGCAGGGGAGGGGGTTAGGGGCGCGGAAATGGCAGTTTCTTGCAGCAGCAGGTGCGGCGGTGCTGGTGGGAGGAGCAGTGGTGATGGCTGCGCAGCGACATCAACGGCTGAGAACGACCGGAGCGAGCAGCGATTGGGAGAGTGAGAATCCGAGGAGGAGGAGCAGTGATTCACAGAGCCAAGGCAAGGGGAAGGGCTCAGCTGAAGCGGGTTTGGAGTCAGCAGTAGGGAAGGTGGAATCCGAGGGAGGGTTCTCCCACTGGCTGGCTTCTATGCCCACTGGCGCAAAGCTCACTGAGAAGGAGTTTGATGAGAGGTAAAGTGGTGCTGAGCGGTGCTGAGCAGAGTAAGGAGCCCCTTGAATTGCTAGAGTTCACATTTACAACTTCCTTGCAAGAAAATAAGGTATCCTTCTGTCTTATTTTTGTTCTCTACTACGAATGAAACAAAGGCTTGCTAGACTTTTGTTTTCACCCTTGGGACACTGCCCCCCAATTCCCCAGCGTCAGGTTCAAGGAGCTTGAGAAGGAGGCCGTGGAGGTGGAGGAGGAGTTTTTGCGCTGTCTGGGGCCTGCCTATAACGAGTACGGTGACAATGATGACGATGAGGAGGAGATGATGTCTTTCATTGCTGCCGTCACCAGCAAACCCGCCCCGACTCTCACCAACTCAGTGGTTCGGACAAACCCAGCGGTCCAGACCAGACCAGCAGCCATAGCACAGGGTTCGACTGGCTCAGCAGCAGCAGCAGCAGGATCAGTAGCGATAGAAGCAGCAAGCAAAAGAAATGCAGGTGGGGCAGCAGGGGCAGGCAGAGGGATACGCGCTCTGCCTGAAGCCACTACCAACGGAAAGACCTTGGCTGGGGGAAGCGCGGGCACTGACAGGTTTGACAAATGGGCTCCGTTTGATGAAGCACACCTGACCATTGATCCGTTCGAGGGGAGAAATGGTGCCTGTGAGCGCAGCAGCAGCAATGCAGCTGGCGTGATCGCCACTCGGGGGAAAGGCAGCAGCAGCAGCAGCAACCACAGCAATGTGAGTGGTGTGAATGGCACACGAGCTACTATGAGCAGCAGCAACAGCAGGTTGAGCAGCCATGGGGCCTGTGAGCGAGGCAGCAGCAGCAGCGGGAAGGGATCGAGCAGAGACAATGGCAGAGAGAATAGCAGTGGCAGCAGCAGCAGCAGTGGAACGCACCGGTTCTCGAGCCCTCCCAGGAAGGAATCTCAGCAGCAGCTTGTACCGGATCTCCTTGTAAGGAGATCTACCCAGGGGAAAGCCAGCAGCAGCAATAGGGACAGCAGCAGCATTGGCAGGAACGCTGCCAGGTCAGTGTTTGCAGCACCAGGCATGGCTGTAGCACCAGGGGCGGCTGTAGCAGCAGCAGCAGGGGGCGGAGTTGGAGGCATGGCAGGAGGCACAGCAGCAGGGCAGAGGCGAGCGGCTTTCAGAATATCCGAAGAGCTGGCGGGTGAGTCGATCCAAACGCTGCTGGCCGGTGGATCAACACACACGCCCCGGGCCGGTGAATCGACGCCAACTCCCCTGAGTGGTGTGCTTAGGACCAGCGGCAAAGGAGGCCAATCAGGTGCAACCATGGATGCAACAAAGGCTGCAGGAAGTGTTGCAGCTAAGGGTACAGCTAAGGGTCTAGGGAGGGGTGTGGGTGGTGGTGGCTCTTTAGGGAGGGCTGGAGGCCGGGTGCATGAAGTGCAGCCGGGAGAGACACTCTCTGGGATTGCAGTGAGAGAGGGGTGTACTGTTGCAGATATCTTGAGGGACAACCCGCATATTGCCTCGCCAAATTGTATTTATGCGCGTGACCGCCTTGTGCTCTAGAAGAATCACAGCGTGCGCGCGTGCTCGTGTGTGTTTTTCTTTCATGTTCGTTGTTCACTTGATAGAACCATGAATACATTTTATCCTCTTTGTATCACCCTCAGCAGAGGCAGTCAGGATACCGAACTTGCAGACAAATGTGGCTCCTTGTCAGTTTCTGGAAATGGAAAGTCACATTGTAGTTCATTATGTCGAACAACATGGAGATGTCAGTTTGTAAGTCCTCTCTGGTTGTTACGAGTGCAATGGAGTGAGCGAGCGAGGATTGCACTATCGAGACAAGAAAATACAATGAGCGACGGATTGAGCGAAGAATATATAGCGAAGCTATAGTGGTAACGGTAACGTGTGGTCAATGGGGTGCGCGACGGGCCTAATGCCGAGGTTGGGAACTGTCGAGGCGGAGGTCCGGAGCGCGGGTTACCAACCGAACCGTGAGGTTGGGTCGCATCGTGAACAGTGGCGGGAATGGGGTCGAGGCGAATGTCGCGAGTGGTAACGGATTATTGTGGGGTGCTGTTGGCGGGAACAGTGGTGTACGCGCTGAGCAGGAACGCGAAGTAAGGAAAAGGGTTTTTCCTTACACTACCCCCCCCCCCCCTAAGGAGGCCTCTCTTACGAGAGCGCGTGTACATCTCGGAAATTCCGGCTGCGCAGGTACTCGGTGAGGACGGGGTGGTTTTCGATGTTTTCCAGGGGAACCCAATTGTCCTCGGTGGGCGTGCGGTCTCTCCAGCGGATCAGGAATTCGACCCTTCGAGCTCCTCGTGGGTTGCGAACTCGGTGGCTCAGAATCTTCTCGGGCGTGATGACTAGTTCTGTCTGTGGTCGTGTAATGCTGGCAGGGCGATTTCAGGCCAGTTGGCTAGTGGATGGAATGTAGGGGCGAAGCAGGCTAACGTGGAATGACGGGCTGACGTACCAGTCAGCAGGTAGGAGGAGGTGGGCGGTGATAGGTGTGATGATGTGGCTGATGCGAAATGGCCCGCAATATCGGAGGCGGAGTTTCGGAGTTATGGGCAGGCGGAGGTTTTGAGTGTCGAGTAAAACTAAGTCGTCCGGTTGGTAAGTGACGGGTCTGCGGTGGCGGTCGGCGTTGCGCTTAGCGATGACGTTGGCCTTTTTTATTGCCTCTGCTGCCCTGGTTCGTGCTACCTGTAAAATTTCTGCGAATTGTTGCGCACGTGGTACCGGGTTGTCGGGATTCGGGGTCATGGGTACTGTGGGGTCTTGTCCGTAGTTCAGGTAAAATGGTGACTGTTGGGTCGTGGCGGATGGCGAGTTGTTGTACGGGAATTCGACGAGGGGCAGTTGCTGTTCCCAAGTGGTTGGGTCGTCGCACGTGGCTCAGATTAACTGTTCCATGGTCTGATTTGTCCGTTCTGTCTGTTCGTCGGTTTCGGGGTGGTACGAAGAACTGAACTGCAGCCTCGTGCCGAACTGCTGCCACAGGTTCTGCCAGAAATTACTGGTAAATTTCGTATCGCGGTCGCTGATGATCGCTGCTGGTATACCGTGTAATCGAACGATGGTTGAGATGAAGAGGCGGGCCGTTTCTTCGGCTGTGATTGATTTTTTGCAGGCTGCGAAGTGTGCCATTTTCGTCAGCCGATCGACGATGACCAAGATCGCGTCGTTCCAATTTGCTCCGGCCGGTAACCCCGTGACGAAGTCCATCGTCACCTGCTGCCAAGCACGCTCTGGGGGTGGTATCGGCTGCAACTGCCCTGCTGGTCGCTTCTGTGATGATTTCATGAGTTGGCAGGTGGGACACGATGCCACGTGTCGCTGCACGTCAGTCAACATTTCGGGCCAGTAATAATACCGTTGCAGCTGCTGCCGTGTTTTTTCTACTCCGAAATGGCCTGAGGTGACTCCATCGTGTGCCTCTTGTTACAGTAATTCCCGTAGAAGTGTGTAGCCCGGTACCCAGATTTGATCGGTGCCGGCTTTTACGTAATAGACTCTTTTTGTCGTCGCGAGCTGTTGCGAATTTCCGCCTATGAAAAATGGGCCAGTCTGATAACCATGGGTAAATAGGCCCGTCAGTCAGTCAGGGAGTTGACTTCTTCCAGACCTTCTTCCCTATGTCAGAGGTCCACTGGTGATCCCTGATTGATCCTAGGGAAGGGTTACAGGCATGTTGGCCTGGGGGGTTATGGGCGCACTGACCCGCTACTTAACAAGCCCTTTTATCCCAATGGTCTAGTGGTTGGGATTCTGACATGGTATCAGAGCGAAGGTCTCGGGTTCGAATCCCAGTGTGTGCACTTCGGGCATCCCAGTGCGGGGGGGTGTCAGAGGTCCACCGGTGATCCCCGATTGATCCTAGGGAAGGGTTACAGGCATGGTGGCCTGGGGGGTTATGGGCGCACTGACCCGCTACTTAACAAGCCCTTTTATCCCAATGGTCTAGTGGTTGGGATTCTGACAGCCGGTGCGTTGGTCAGCCCGAAGGGCATCACTGTGTACTCAAATGACCCGTACCTAGTCCTAAATGTTGTTTTGGCGCAGTTCGATGGTTCGACCCGAATCTGATGGTAACCCCCTCGCAAGTCGATTTTCGAAAAGACCGTTGCCGTTCGCAGTTGATCTATCAGTTCGTCGGCGCGGGGGATGGGGTATCGTGATTTGTCTGTAACTCTGTTCAGTGCTCGTTAGTCGATGCACATGCGAAATCCTCCGTCCTTTTTCGGTGTGAACAAGATCGGTGCAGCGAATGGCGACGAGCACGGTCGAATATTTTTTTTTCTCTAACATGTAATCTAACTGCTTCCTTAGCTCGTCGAGCTCGGGCTGTGTCAGTCTGAATTGTCGCTGTACGGTTGGCTGTGCCCCGCGCTCTAATTCTATTCGGTGATCGTGCGCCCGCTGAGGTGGCAGTCCCTCCGGTAAGTCGTCAAGAAAAATCCTCGGGAATCGTTGCAGCAGTTCGGGTGGTACTGCCGCCATCAGCTTTTGAAAATCGCTCGGTTGTTCTGCTTCCTCCACTATTGCGATATCTACCGCATACACGTCAGATCCAACGGCGACAGCCCGTTTCATCGTGATGGCGTTGACGTGGACCGTCGAAGACTCAGGCGACTGCCAGTGAGGTAGTTCAACCCAGTTACCGCTTCTTCGCACAGTGTAGCTACCCGTCGTCCAGTCGATTCGCGGATTGTACCGTCGCAGCCAATCACGTCCCAGTAATATGTCGTGCCCATCCAATGTCGTCGCGAGAATTTCCTGTGTAAACCCGAAGTTCCCCCCACAACGGACTTTTACTCTCTCCACTTTATCCCGAATGGCTAGCGGCGTTCCGTCAACTAAACGTGCATCTATCTCCGGTAAACACCGGCTAAGTGTTAGTTGCAGCTTCTTTGCAGTTGCGGTGTTAACTAAGCTGTGACTTGCGCCTCCGTCTATAAAAATCTTCACTGCTGCTCCCTGTATTTTTCCGTGGATCAGTACTGGGCAATACGTCGCTGTACCCTCCTTATTCGTCCGAGCCCGATCGATAGCGTGAATCGGTACAATGACTCGGTGAGGGTCGGTGAAGTTGGGCGAGCAGGCAGTCTCGTCTGTAGTTGGCCCAACTTCTACTAACTGCTGGCGTTTCCCGTCCTTAGAGACTCTCGCCCCTGCTCTGTTCCACGGCGCCTTAGCTCCTCTGGGCATTCACTCTTGCGGTGGCCCGGCCTATTGCAAGCAAAGCAGCGCCCCTTAAACGGTGCGGCAGCTGCATTTGTCGCAACGGCGTGTACAGTGGCGTGCTCGATTGGTCCCCGAGAACGTTGTCCGTAGTAGGACCCCGGTCTCAGTCGTCGTAGGATGTCGATTTTCTCGGCGAGCGCAAGGATCTCGTTGAAATTCGAGAGCCCGCGTAGCATGATTTCGAGCGAGATGTCCAACTTTAGCCCTCCGACGTAACGGTCCACCCGCTCCGCTTCGTGCATATAGCCGACTTGCTCGCATAAGGCGAGAAAACCGCTCGTGTAGTCTTGAACCGATCCGAGCTGCCGCCAAGTACGCAGCTTCTGACGCGCCGAAATCGAAGCCGCAATCGGCTCGAAACGCGCTCGAAGCCCTGCGCACCACGCATCCCACGTGCTGTACTAGGCTGTCTCGCAGAATGAACTCCAGGTGACGGCTGGGCCCGTGGGCCCGTCTTCTTGTGACGGTGGCTCGTAGGTGCGAGGCGACGTCACAATGACTCGCCACTTGTCCATGGCAGGGCCCCTCATCAGCAAAACAGCATAGCGAATCTTCGCTGCGTCCGACTCGACGTAGTTTACGTCGAAGAAAACATTCATCGTGAAGACCCACGATTGAACCGTCGGACCCCCACGTTGGCTCGGGTCGAAACAGGGCAGGCGCTGCGACTTGAGTGGCATTGGTGGCGTGACGGCGTATTCGCCACTTGTCGTTGCAAATTCCACGTGCCAACGGGCTTCGCGGGGCTTCCTGGGGCTTGGTGCGGCCCTGTTTCTCTCCATTCCAGGCATTGAGTGAGTGGCGCCTTCACTGGCTACGCCTGAGCGCTGTCCCACGCTGTCGTTCTTTGTCGATGTGCCTGACGAGATGATGATCGGCTCCTCAGATTGTGCAGGTGCATTTGTGGGTGCTGGTGCATTCATTGTCGATTGCTGACGAGCGGAGTCGCGTTCCGCCGTGAGTGTGGCGATTTCAAGCGCCGAATCTTCAAGTTGGCGTATAAGACGGTCGAGTTGTTCTTGTGTCAGTGTCGCGACACTAAGTTCGGCCATGGCGGGGGTGTCGGGCAAACTCAGCGAGAGCCTCTGTCGTGGCCGTGCGTGCTTACGAGAGAGCACTACGAGCGGCAGTGCATGGTCGCTGAGAGACGTCTACCCCCCCCAAAAAAAATGAGATAGTGGGGAAGCGAAGGTGTGGGTGCGGTCCGAGAGAAGATCGTAGGCTCTGAGCGAGCGAGGATTGCACGATCGAGACAAAAAAATACAATGAGCGACGGATTGAGCGAAGAATATATTGCGAAGCTATAGTGGTAACGATAACGTGTGGTCAATTGGGTGCGCGACGGGCCTGGTGCCGAGGTTTGGGAACTGTCGAGGCGGAGTCCGGAGCGCGGGTTACCAACCGAACCGTGAGTTTGGGTCGCACCGTGAACAGTGGCGGGAATGGGGTCGAGGCGAATGTCGCGAGTGGTAACGGATTATTGTGGGGTGCTGTTGGCGGGAACAGCGGTGTACGCGCTGAGCAGGAACGCGAATTAAGGAAAAAGGTTTTTCCTTGCACTGGTGAATCAGTCATTAAATATTAGAAAACATAATTATTGTTGTATCATTATTTGTTACCAGTTCAGTTCAGCATAGTTTCTGTATGCTGTTTGCTCTATTATGCAGGTTTGTGCTCGATCAGTGTGCTCGTTATAATTTTCTTGGTGCATTGATTGCACAGCTATAATAATTGACGTCACTAAGTTGGCAGCCCAGAACAAGGTCAAATGTGAAACCAATCAGAAGAAAGCGCGTTGTGAAACAGCTTTTTCATAGGCAGCAAACCACAAATCATAATTATTCTCTCGTGAGAATCAGATTGATCAAATGGCGTTTGCGTGGATTCTCCCAAGATTAGGGAACCAGTGGACATTGCCATGTCACCCAGTTTTCCAGACGTGATTGTGGGCTGGCGAGGCGACACTACATTATCTCAAAGAATTTGCACCGAGACACAGCTCTTCATGTACGCTCAATGCCGAACCGTACTGCGTAACCTTTTCGTGTTCTAAAACATTGCCCGCATGTACCTCAGCATTGGCAACGGCACCCAGCTACCCTCCCTCTGGCAGTTTTTTATCCCTCCATAAACATGTCTCATTTTCGCTTGTGGAGAAGTTTGCTAAGGCAGGCGAAACGCATGGACTCGGTTCAGTCCAGACCTGGGCCAAAATGTTGCGTTCTAATGATAACAGTGTGTACGTTTGGGGGTTCAGTCGATAATTAGGGGTTCGGTCGAGAATGATAACAGTCAGACTGATTTTGTAAGTTTTCTTTTCATGCGTCTCTACAGTCAGTCAGCAATTTACGGACTGCGAGGCCCAACACGTGAATCACCGTGTGGAGTACAAATCTGCAAGTGGGAAACACAAATTCAAGCTTCGAGAAACACGGAGCCTGCCAGAGGTGTTTCTCAGAGCACAACACGGACCCTACTGCTGCTAAACTACAGTACCTTCAAGGCCTGGTTTCCCATGTGCTTGCTTGCACACAGCTTGCTTGGCTGGTGCAAGCAGAGCAGAGCATTCCCACAATCATCGCCAACACTCCCAGAGGGATGAAGTACTTTTACATAAGCAGAATGCCGCATGAGTCCACCAAACTGCTCTGGAGGTGAGGGAATTTACAGTAAAGCTCAAATCCACCCTTTCAGCTCTGTTGCTAGAGATACACCTCCGAGCTGCCCCAGAAGTGCAACGTACTTCTGGTTCGTCGTGAATAGTGATGAATCAATGAGGCCAGCATTCCTTGGGACCGACAGTTGTGGATCATTCGCCGTCCTGAACTGCAGGTTGCTAGCAATCATAAGGGCATAGCGCATGGTGTGATGGGAACTGCACACAAGAATTTCGAGGGCAATTCGAAGCATTTCGAGAACCAATTGTTGCAGATTCCCTTTTGAGCTCGCGAAGAGACACAATTGTTTTGACAATTGTTAGCGACCCCTTCAACACCGAGAGGCTCAACCACCGCTGGGGTTCGAAAGGTACATGGAAAGGCCACATTTGTTAGCTAAAAACAGGACTGTTTAATGTGGAAATATTGAGCCTGGAAAAAAAGGTACACGACTGAACAGAGAAAAGCCATACCACACTCGGTTGAAAAAACAAATAATTATTTCGACATACGTTCTAGGCACAAACGAGGACTGTCTTGCCTGGTACAGTGGCTTATCCAGAACATCTAAAGCATCTGGTCAAACAGAAGTGATGGCATGGCACCTTACACCAATTCACCACTCTTCACAACTTTTTAAAAAACGGACAAACAAACTCAAAGCCAACCATATGGAGGGGGGCTGATATCCGGGAAGAGGGGGACGGTGAGGAGATCACGGGATTCGTCTGTGAGGGGGGGAGAGGTTGTCATCACATAACCCCAAAACTTCCCTCGATCGCAATCCGCATCTCTCTTTCCCCATCCCCACCCCAAACACAGACATCCATTTTTCCCTATGTGTTGCCCCACTCACGAAGAAGCACATGAGTAAAAGAACCCAAATGCAACACACATAGAACCCCCCCTCAAGATACCCAATCAAAACGCCGAGTCAAGACACCCCATCAAGACAACTTTCCTTGGTTGATCTGAAATCCGAAGGTTTCTCGACAACTCGTAGATGGTGAAAAGTTTTGATTCTCCTGAGAGTGGGAGATGCAAACTGAGTTCAAACGAAACTCGGCCCATATGCTGTGGTGACGCCACAATGTGATTTTTAACCACAGGAAAATTAATAGCCCCTCGTATCTGGAATTGATATATCAATTATAGAAAGGTTCAGGGTGACTCATGAACAGAGAGTGTGTACTTGCAGCGAGTTTAAATCCAAAATATGATTGGATTTGGTTGAACAGTCCCACCACATGACCTGCAAGTGCACAACATTTGGACGATTCAAAGTTGGACGGATGGGATGGGAAGAGAAGGAATTGAAAACCCAAACAGCACTCACTACAGTCTCCGTCATTGGTGGCCCAAATGCACCTTGTTGACCGACCAAGCTCCCTCAACAAAAAATCCAGGGAGTAAAAAAAGACATACAGCTGTACAGCTGTCACCTACGTGCGTTTGGAGCACGATGAATCACACACACAAACACAACACTACGATATCGCGCTTCCCTGACGCTCCACATATTTCAGAATCGTACCTTCACTACCATTCTTGTTCGCCCTCCATTGTAGAGTTTCATTTTCACGAGCTCTCAGATCCAGAATCAACCTATCACGAGGTCACCTGGCTGTCACTTGCCTACGAAAACAGGCGCTTAGCCTTCGCGGTATAAGTTATTCATCTTTCTCACAAGTTCACGACCGATTTCGAGCGGGGAAAACGGAGCCTGATGTGTGCCGTTCGTGGCGGAAAAGACGTAATAATCCCCGGCGCGGGAGACGACGATGTCCGCGGGGCGGCAGGGGCAGATCCCTCCATGCAAGTAACTAGAATGTGGTCCAAACAGGTACCCTTCTTAATGTTTAGTCCATTTTGCTAATTAATACCACCAACAAATCTTTTTAGTTCTCTGATGCCCCGAACCGCAATACATCGCCTTTACTTCCAAGCAGCAGCTGTTTGCGACTCTGCCCCCAGATGACTCGTTCTAGAGTAATCGTGGGGCGGGGACTTGATTGGCCGCTACCCTATATCGGCACTGGCGCCTTGATTTGCAAAAAATGCCAGATTTCTTTCTACTAGATCGCTCTTTTCCCTCCTCTCCTGCTCCATGATTGATCTATTCGCGTGTAGAAGGACATCACTCTCCTCCGCCCGAGCTCCCTTCAGCGACGGCACCAAGCGCTGCCTGCTGCCGCGCGCGTTGTCCTCCGCTGTCTCTCGTCTACTTCAGAAAACCGATTTCGCATCCTCCCCATCTTCCCCTCCCCCTCCCCCCCTTTTTGCCCTCCTCCCGTTTCTCGTCCCCCAACCCCGCCCTCTCCCCCGGCTCCTCCCCGCCTCTCCTCCATCCCGCTCCGCCTCAGGAGGACGCCACGCTACTGCGACATTGGGGCGCGCTCGAGGAACGCTCCCTGCTGCCTGCTGCCTGCTGCCGCACTCCCCTTCTGCTCAGTCCTCTCTCACGACCCTCTGCCATCTCCTTACCCCCTTCTCTCTCAGGAGGACGCGACGCTACTGCGCCACGCATTGCGCTACGGCACGCGGCAGTGGGGCGCACTCGAGAAGAGCTCCCTGCTGCCGCACCGGGACAACAAATCCTGCTGTAACCGCTTCCTTTTCCTAAAAAAGTCAGCCTCCTATTCCCATGTTGCCCCTTTTCCCGCTTAGAAGTTTCTCTCCCTCCCTCCCCTCCCCAGCACATCACTAAGAGTTTAGATCCCACTGATCCTGCCCACTTGTAGAAGCTTCTCCTGTCATTTCAAGAACTAGAAGACCTCTACCACAGTCTTGCAATGCACGTGAATATTTCTGCATCTTCCTGCTCCGTTCCTTCCTCTCGCCTACCTCCCATCTCACTCACCGAGACCCCTACGAGACCTTTTCAAGACCCTCACCTTGTCTTCCCTCGATATCTCCCACCTCGCAGAAAATTCACTGAGTCTCACCGGCGTTGGCAAGAGGGACGGGAAAAGCGCTGCTCCGGAGAGAGGCGTGGAAGTCCAAAGCAGGACAAGGAAGGCTCGTCACCAAGCGGACGGGCGGCAGACAGCGTCAGCACGCAAAGCGACCACGAGAATCCAGGGACCTCAGCAGGAGCAGGCGCATCTGCTGAAGCACTTGAAGCAACACCTGACACACCACCACCTCAAGCACCGGCAGCGGCGGCGGAACCAATGACGTACGGCCACCTGTCACTAGCGGCATGCGAGTGGCTGTTCCTGGGCCTGGGCGAACCCAGGGATTGGCCAGAGCTGCATGACGCCGGTGCAGGCAGCTTGGGTGTACCTTTCACAGGCACTCTGAACGCCGGTGCAAGCAGCTTGGGGAGTGCTGCTCTTGAGGGTGCTTTCGGCGCCGGTGGGAGCAGTATCGGCGCGGTGAGCCATGCTCTCGCTGGTCCCGGCAGCGGAAGATTCGAAGGGGGAGGGGACCGCTTTCCCCACCCAGATGGATTCCCCTCGTTGGTTTCTGGTGATGCCGCCGCCCCTGCTTCTGCCGCTGCTCCTGCCAGAACACTTACCTTTTCCTCTGCTCGCCATGCCCCCCTCTCTGCTGCTCTCCCTGGTTCATTCTCCGCAGCTCATGGCACTTTGTACAGTCCGCCTTCCCACCAACCCTCTGCCAGGCAATCGCCATTTTTTGGGCAGCCGGCATTTGCCAGGCATCCACCTTTTTCCGGGCAGTCACCTTTTTCCGGGCAGTCAACATCTCCTACACCAGCACCTGGGTTCCCTTCAGTCAGAGGAAGCTTCCCCCCTCTTGCAACGATTCTGGCTCGCCATGCCTCACGGTTGCGTGCTGATACCACCGAAGCTGCTCCTGACACCACTAGTGCTGCTGCTGCTGCTGCTGCTGCTGCTGCTGCTGCTGCTGCTGCTGATTTTGCTGTTGACGGAAGCGCATGTGATTCGATGGCTTTTGGGTCGTTGCAAGCAGGCACCACCGATCCATCGGGTGCTTTCCTGCCGTTTTTTTCGACTGCGCCAGAAGACCGACGGAGCTTCAGCGACAGTGCTGGTTGGGGGCACAAGCGGAGGTTTGGCGATTTCCAAACGAGCTCCGCGGCTCCCTGTCGAATCACAGACAAGGCCACGAACCAAGAGATGAGCCACGTTACGAGCCAGGCCACAAACCAACCAGGTTCGATGGTGCACCAAGCTACTCACACAGAAGAGAAGCGGGGTGATTCGGCCCTCCCAAAGTTGGGTGTGATCAACCAACAGCTGCTCCTGCTTCAGCAGCAGCAGCAGCAGCAGCAGCAGCAGCAGCAGCAGCAGCAGCAGCAGCAGCAGCAGCAGCAGCAGCAGCAGCAGCAGCAGCAGCAGCAGCAGCAGCAGGAAGACGAGGAGCAGCAGCAGCAGCGGCAGCAGCAGCAGCGGCAACAGCAGAAGGCACTGCTAAAGCAGCAGTTGCAGGCGCTGCAGCAGCTGCAGGCGCGGCAGGAGAATCAGCAGTGGCTGCAGCAGCAGCTGGAGGTGGCACAGAGCGAGCAGGCGAGCCAGTTGAGAGGAGGAAAGCATGGAAATTATCAATCGGAAGAAGATCAAGCTATGCAGCTGAACCAGCACCAGAAGCAGCAGCTGCTGCTGCTGCAGAACCAGCAGCAGTTGCAGCAGCGGCTGCAGCTGCTACAGCAGCAGCTGGAGGCAGCTCAGAGCGAGCATGCATGCCAGTTGAGGGGAGGGAATCTTGGGAGCGATCAGTGGTTGGCGGATCAAGAGATGCAGCAACAGCTGAAGCGGCAGCAGCGGCGGCTTCAGCAGCTGCAGAAGCAACTGGAATTGAAGCAGCAGGAGCGAGAAACTCAGCAGCAGCAGAGGGACCAGCAGCAGCAGCAGCCGCCGCCCCAGCCCCCTGCGCTCCCCTCTGTGATGCGAGACACCCTCCTCTCCCACCCGCTTCCTTCTCTCGAGATTCCGCCCCGCCCAACCCTGCAGCACCCCCACCAGCAATACCAGCACCAACAGCAACACCACCAGCAGCACCATCAGCAACACCAGCAGCACCAGCACCGCCACCAGCCATCCCCTCAGTCCGAGGGGAGTAAGCTGAGTGCAGAAGGTGTAAATCGTTCCACCCACTCCCTCCCAGTGTCTCCAATTAACCACGCTCACTCACCCCTGTACCGCCCTCACTCGCCTCTAGCCCATTCCTACCCATTGCTAGCCCATTCATACCCCTCGCTAACCCATTCGCACTCCTCAATCTCCTTCCCCAACCACTCTTCCGCCTCTTCCCCTGCCCAACAAGCCTCGCCCTCCCTCGCAACACCCCAACCCCAAGATCCCCAACTGCGATGCTCGGGGGAAAAACACCAGAGGCCGAATATCCCCATTCTTCCGCACTCGTTTCAGTTCCCCTTCCCTCCAGCTCTGGCAGAGACAGCAGCATGCCGATCCGCCCAGGCCTCGTTTGAAGCACCTCCGCAGCTGCTCTCATCCTCGTTTGAAGCACCCGCACAGCTACACTCCCCGCTCCTCCCCACTCGCCCGTACCCCTGGTCCTCGCACCCTTACACCACACCTCCTCCCTTTCACCCATTTCAGCGGCCGGTCGGATCTGCTTCCGCTCCAGCCTTTTTTGGGCCAGCTCACATGCGGCCCTTCCCACCCACTCCCCCGTCCATCCACCAGTCCCCTCCCTCCGCTCACCCCCCTGCTGCTCTGACTCCTCAGTCAAGTCAGAAATCTGCTCCGTCCTTTCACCAGTCCTCTTATCATTCCGCCCCCACTTCACATGATCCTGCTACTCCCCCGCCTGCCACACTCGCTGCCACGCCTCCTCGCAACAGTCCACGCAAGCACCTTTCGCCACAATCACACCGAATGCTTTCGCCACAGTCACAGCAGCTTCCCTCACACCAGCACCTGCGCCCACTCTCCCCTCTCTCTTCCCCAACCGACCTGCAAGGCTCGGCAGCGCTTGGAGGCCCAGGAGAGGTCGGAGGTTCGGCAGAGCTTTGGCATGACAGTGACTGTATCAAGGGGCACATGAAGGAGGGTAACAGCGAAAGCGGCAGTGGGGGCGCAGGGAGCATGGCCTGTGACTATAGTGGGATTGGCACAGTCAACATGGTAACCGTGACTGCTGGGGCCACGGCAACGACAGAGGCGTGTGACAAAAACGAGTTGCCAGCTGTCAGGCCTCGATTGGTTCGGTTGGTACCAGCAGCCAGCAGATCCTTCACGTTCGGCGATCAGTATAAACGCGCCCTCGCTTCTGCTGCTATGGCTGGGATTGACAGGGTAACCAGCAGCAGTGCGAGCAGCAGGGAGGAGGCTGCCTTCGCCAGCCGTCTAATAACCAACAAGTGGGTAACCAGTAACGCAGTAACCAGCACTTGGGTCGACGCTGCAGAGGAGAGGCAGGGTGGTGAACCCGGGGAGACGAGGACAAGCAAGAATAGCCCGCCAAGGGATGAGGGCCGGAGAATTGACAGATATGGTGACTATGATAGTAAGAGGTTCAAATCGTTCAGCGTGGATCATTTCCGTACTATCACCTCCCCCGGTGACTCTGAAGATGGTGACTACAACGGCGGCGGTGGTGGGAGTAGCCTAAGGGAACCTACCCGGAAGCTGCGGCAGGGAACGGATGAGGAGGAGGGAGCGGCAGCAGGCGGGGTTGGTGTTGGTACTACTGGGATGGGGGAGGCTGGGTGTGGGACTAGCACGAGTGCTTCTGCTGCTGCCGCTGCTGCTGCTGGAGGTGGTGCTGGTGCTCCTGCTTCTGCTGGTGGTGCTGTTGCTGCTGCTGGGGTTGGCGGCGCGGCACCCCACCCCAGCATCAGTAGCGGCGCCATCGCCATGGTCGAGACGCATCAAACGCCGCTGGAACCCGGCGGTAGTACTACCCATGTCGCGACTGCTGACGGTGCTGCTCATGATGCTGCTCGTGCTGCTGCTGCTGCTGCTGCTGCTGTTGATGGTGCTGCTAACGGTGCGTCTAGTAACGGAGATGACCGTGTTACTAATGGCGAGGCGCTGCCCAATGCCTTTGATCCCGTCACAACTGCTGATATTGACATATCCTTCGTACTCGCAGCCGAGCCTCATAGTATCACTGGCGACGCTGCCGCCTGTCAATTCGGCGAATTAGGGTTTGAATTCGGGCAATCGCTTCTGCTCGAACCGTTCGCCGCCGCTGTGCAAGCCGTCGGACCGGTCAATCTGACGGAGGCTGGTCGTGATCTAGCCGCAACGCATAGTCTGACGCCGGGAACCGCGCATGATTTGACCGCGACGCATCCTGGTTCTACTGATCTGCGTACATGTGACTCGGGGATAAAGGACCAATACGGTGATGGACCAATCGCGGAGGACAGGCAATGACGCATATGTATTTAATTAATATATACTAACATCCCTGCCTGGGATGGACGTTGCAGAAAAAGGACCAATACGGACTCGTGAAGCGAAATGATAACGTAAAGCCAAATCGACGCAGTGATCGTTCTCGATACCCCACCTGCTTGTGGACGACGTGGAGGAACTGGAAAATACCGAGTGCCGTTGAAGTACACCCTCTTTCTCAACCTTTTCACCTTGCGCGACTCGTCGCTACAGTACTTGTCTCGTGCGATCTGGTGCCAATAAACGTTCCTAACCTGGGGGGAAAGCCGGACCACGTGACAAACTGGCTCAAGGACGTAAAATCTCCGTAATCGCTTCATAACTTTCCCAAACAGATGAAAACGTTGACAGCGCTTTTTGTAAAGTGCATAACCTTACCTAACCGCATTCTTCGCATTGTGCTTGTACAGTAGGTGACAAGACCATTCTGAACGTGGTGACGTTCTACAATCCATGTACGTTCTCCAACCAGGTGCTCTACTAGCGCGAAATAGGGTGTACTGCCTTCTGCAGTGAAACCTCGAGAATCAGAGAGCACACATTTTCGTGTCCACGCCACACACATCAGGCCAGGCCACATGAATGGCACACCTGCCACCGCTCCCCCCCACACCGCGATCTTCCCTTTGCTCCATCAAAAGCTCCAACAACATTATTCGTGTAACGGTTTCCATGCTGCAGCTGATTTAGATCCTGGGCCCATTAGTACGCAGGGGCTGGATGCTCCTGATAGAATATGGACGGTAGCAATAGAAGGCAATTAACCTGGCGAGCATTGAGCAGCAAATGACCATACCTAGTCAGAGGCAAGAAAGGAATGTAAATTTTAGTAGTCATCCTAGTGCACTGCCCTGCCACACTTGCACTATATCCATCCATCGTACTTGACTGACACCCCTGGCAGATCTGCCTGCGAATCGTTCACGAAGAGCAACTATCATCCTCCTCTCCCTCAGAAACAGACAAAAGCATTGACCCTGCCTAACCAACCTCTACGGCTCGTAATTCAGCATCGGACCAAGCCACTTCTCAGCCTCGGCAACCGGCATGCCCTTCCTCTGAGCATAATCCCCAACCTGATCCCCCAAGATCTTCCCAACAGCAAAATAGTGACTCTTGGGCGCAGCAAAAATCAGGCCAGAAACCGAAGCAGCGGGCAGCATAGCCATGGATTCAGTGAGCTGAATCCCCGTCTCCTCCTCCACATCCATTATCCTCCACATAACCGGCTTCTCAGTGTGATCTGGCTGGCTGGGGTACCCCGGGGCAGGGCGAATACCCTGGTATTTCACCTTCAGCAGCTCGTCTACACTCAGGTTCTCCTCCTTGGCGTACCCCCACACCTCCTTCCGAACGTCCCTGTGGAGAACCTCCGCCGCAGCTTCGGCGAGACGATCGGCGATAGCCTCGGCCATGATGTAGCTGAAATCATCGTTGTCCTCCTTAAATTTCTTCACCATTTCCTCGAGTCCAAACCCGGAAGACACCACAAACATTCCGAGGTAATCCTTGATGCCTGAGGTCGCCGGGGCGATGAAGTCAGATAAAGCGAGGTACGGATCGTCGTTCTCCTCCTTCTCAGCCTGCTGGCGCAGCGTATGCATCGTCTCAACAACCATGCTCCTCGACTCATCATTATAAAGCACAATGTCGTCGCCCACCGAATTTGCAGGGTAAATCCCCACAACGCCCCGCACCGTCAGCTTCTTGTTCTCCACAATGTCCCGCAGCATCGCCTGCGCGTCGTCGAAAAGTTTCTTCGCCTCGTGCCCGACCGTCTCGTCGTTGAAAATCTTAGGGTAACCGCGGTTGGGGTACCTACCCCTCAGTTGCCACACCTGGAAGAAGGGATTCCAATCAATGGCTGCCAACAGCTCCTCATTGATTGGATAATCCTTGTACACCTTCTTCCCCAGCACGTTCGGGACCACAGGAAGGTTCTCCGGAAGCTTCCAGTCGATCTGGAACTTCATGTCCCGAGCCTTGTTGATTGGTACGTACTTCCGATCCTGCAGCCCAGCATAGTGCTCCTCCCGAAGCTCCGCGTACGTCTCCCGGACGTCCGTCACAAAGTCAGTCGTGGCCGTCGGATCGAGCAGGCTAGAAACTACCGGGACGCTGCGGGAAGCGTCCAAAACGTGAACAGTAGGCCCGCTGTACACCGGCTCGATCTTGACAGCTGTGTGCATGCGACTGGTCGTGGCTCCTCCAATCAGCAGCGGGATTTTGAACCCCTCCCTCTCCAACTCCTTCGCAACCGTAACCATCTCATCCAGCGACGGGGTAATTAACCCCGACAAACCCACCACGTCGGCCTTATGCTCCCGGCACGCGTCCAAAATCTTCGCGCACGGAACCATCACACCGAGATCAACCACCTTGTAGTTGTTGCACCCGAGAACAACCGCAACGATGTTCTTCCCGATGTCATGCACGTCTCCCTTGACTGTAGCAATGACGACGGTGCCGGCGTTGGCGGCTTGCTCGATCTCGGGGTTGGCGAGGCGCGCCTCCTCCTTCTCCTTCTCCATGAAGGGGATGAGGTGCGCCACGGCACGCTTCATCACACGCGCACTCTTGATCACCTGTGGGTAGGGGGGTCGGGGGCGGGTGAGGAGTGTGGGGAGGGTGGAGGAGGGGTTGTGAGAGGCTTCGGTGTGGCAGGAGCTCATAGCCAGCATCACATACATCAGGAGGGCGAAGCACAGGAATGCGGGGAGTGTGGGGAGTCTGAAAGGTGCCACGATCCTACTCCAATCTTTATCAGTATCAGCAGTAACTCACCTGATAAAGAATTCAGGATCACTTGGGACAGGCAAGCTCACTCAGAGATGAAGACAGGTTGACCTGGAAGAAGCAAAGAGGGCTCACCTGGGGGAGGAACATCTTGCCAGCACCAAACAAGTCTCCCACCACGTTCATGCCATCCATGAGCGGCCCCTCTATGATGTGCAGCGGCCGCACATACAGCCCACACGTCCTCGCCTCCTCCACATCCGCCACCACGTACTGATCTATCCCCTTTACAAGCGAATGCGCTAACCGCTTTTCCACCGAAAACTCTCTCCACGCGTCCTTCTCGGACTTATCCACGCCGCCGCCCGCTTTCGGGTCCAATCTCGCCGCTAACTCCAGCATCCTCTCGGTCGCATCCGGCCGTCGATTCATCACGCAATCCTCGACATGATCTAACAGCTCCTTGGGAATATCATCGTAGATATCAATCTGCCCTGCGTTCACAATCCCCATGTCCATCCCGGCTTTAATCGCATGGTAGAGAAACACCGAGTGGAAAGCGCGTCGCACCGGCTCGTTCCCTCGGAACGAGAACGAGATGTTCGACACGCCGCCCGAGATCTTCGCGCCCGGGCAGAGCGCCTTAATCCGGGTCGTCGCGTTGAAAAAATCCACCGCGTAGTTCGCATGCTCCTCCAATCCCGTCGCGATCGTCAGAATATTCGGGTCGAAAATAATATCCTCCGGGTTAAACCGGACCTCGTCCACCAAAATATCATACGCCCTCTTGCAGATCCGAACTTTGTCCTCTTCTGTGGCGGCCTGGCCTTCCTCATCGAAGGCCATGACGACGACCGCTGCCCCGTGGCGCTTGATGGTGCGGGCGTGGGCGCGGAAGGCCTGTTCGCCCTCTTTGAGGGAGATGGAGTTGACGATGCACTTGCCCTGCGAGCACTTGAGCCCCGCCTCCACCACGTGGAACTTGCTCGAATCGATCATAAAGGGGACCTTGGCCACCTGGGAGGCAAGTCGAGGGCAGACATCCGAGTAGAACACAAGATGGGAATGAATGAGAGCTCATCAAATGGCACACAGGCACTTGAGCCCCGCCTCCACCAAGTGGAACTTGCTCCATAAAAGGCACCTTGGCCACATGTGGTGTGTGTAAATAAACAACAGGGACAGGGGTGTGTGTGGACACCTTGGCTATCACTTGCCATTCCCCTTCCTTTTTCCTCTTCAATCACACTCGCCATGTCCCACTAGTCCTTCATTTCCCTCCACCCAGTTGTCCCCCCATTGCTCCTCCCCTTGGCCATTCCGTTGCCCCTTCCCTTGCCCCTGTTTGGACTCACATCAGGCTCGGAGACCAGCAGGTTGACGAAGCGGGTCATGGCAGCCACAGAGTCAAGCAGCCTCTCATCAAGGTTGATATCGATGATCTGCGCACCCGCCCCTCCCTCCCTCGTTCTCACCCCTGTTTGAACTCACATCAGGCTCAGAAACCAGGAGGTTGACGAAGCGGGTCATAGCGGCCACAGAATCGAGAAGCCCCTCATCGAAGTTGATATCGATGATCTGCGCGCCCGCCTCCACCTGCGCGATGGCAATGCTGAGCGCCTTGTCCCAGTTGCCCGCCATCACCGCCTTCTTGAAGATGCTCGATCCCGCCACGTTGCACCGCTCGCCGATGTTTATAAAGGGGATGGTCTCGGGCGTGTAGTTGAAGGGCTCGAGCCCGCTCACGCGCATCAGGTTGCGCACTGAGGGACGAGGGCGCGGGCGCACTCCCTCCACCTGCCAGGGCCAAGGTTTTAGGGTTCAGGGTTCAGGTTTCAGGGTAGAGAGTTGAAGGTTGATGGTTCAGGGCTTGAAGCCGCTCGCTAGCAGCAGGTTCCGGTCCCAGAATTCCAGCACAGCACTCACGAGCGCACAGATGATGCATTTCGAGTAGACTCAAGACACTCACTCAAGACACAGCAGGTTCCGGGCCTAACATCACATCTCATCCCCGCACTCACGATTTTAGAGACAGCGTTCATGTGGTGGGGGGTGGTGCCACAACAGCCGCTCAGCACGTTCACCAGCCCGCCCGTGATAAAGTCCGTCACGTTCGGGGCTTCGCACTAGCAATCCCCCACAGTCCCGCACGCACGCGCCCCCTACAGGGCCCCCACATCCCCGCACTCACGATTTTAGAGACAGCGTTGATGTGATCAGGGGTGGTGCCACAGCAGCCAGCCGCCCAGCACGTTCACCAGCCTGCCCCTCGCGAAATCCCCCCACATTCTCCCCCACCCACTCCCAGCTTCCGAACATCCCAACAGCACTCCTCCCGTCGCCAATTCCCTCACGTTCCCCCTTTCTAAGCTCTCAGCATCCCAACACCTTTTTCCTCCATCCCACCCCACCCCATTCCCACAGCACTCACGATTTTAGAGACCGCACTAATGTGGTCGGGAGTGGTGCCGCAGCAGCCGCCCAGCACGTTCACCAGCCCGCCCGTGGCGAAGTCCCGCACGTTCTCCGCGAACTGGGCGGGCGTCTCGTCGTATCCGCCGAACGTGTTGGGCAGCCCCGCGTTCGGGTAGCAGATCACGAACGAGTCCGTGAGCTGGGGACGGGGATGAGGGACAGGGGACAGGAAGGGGAATACGGGGGAAACAGAGGAATGCGGGTAAGGAGAGGAAGGGGAAATGGGGGGAAAGGGGGAAAAGGGGGAATGGGGGAATGGAGGAATGAGGGGAA